ATTGCGGATAATATACTATTTTAATCGATTTTTTTAATACAACAGTTCATAACACGACCGGGGAGAATGCATACCTATTGATTACATATTATACTAGACTTTCAGCTTTGATCCATAATATAACGATATACCTACCTATACTAATGATTCATTCGAACGCAGTTATCACGTATTATCGTACAGAATAGATGATAATAATAATAAAAAAAAAATATAAAGCGATTTTTGTGGTCTGGTTCCAAGTCGTTTGTATAGGATTGCTATTRCAGTATTATAAGACTGGTATACTTGTGTAAACTAGCACGATAATAATATAATAACGATGATATTATAATCGCGTAATCAGTTACCAGTATTATTTTGAAGAAATTGATCATTTTCGATTGGCATCGCCGCGGCGCCAACCGAGTTAAAATCAGAACCCGGTCCTGACTCACGATGACCACCGGACGATCACCTATTGACCCACTGGCCCAACACCCGTTACTGGTCGTCGCAGTCGGTGTTATGACTTATATCATAATAATGTTATGCGAGTACGATAAGTACGAATATTATTATTATTGTTGTTGTGGTACATGCACATTATGCCTTGGCCGCATGCAAAACCGTAGAAATGCACAATATGCCTAATATAGGATGTGGAACTGTGGAGTAATAACAACGGCGTGTTAACCCTTTCTCTGCTAAAACTCAAAACACAACTTATGTAAGTACACGTGATTTTTTACGCTCAACAGCTTACACGCATTGCACTTTGCCCGCGGTTTGCCCTCACAAAATAATATAAATGCAGACGCGTGTTGAATATAACCTTTACGACAATAATTATAATAGTACGTGGTACCTACATAGTATAGTGCACTGTGTATGGATTTTCGCGGTTAATCCGCTACAAGTCATGTCCCACTATACAGTCATCCGACCCTAATTATTATTTTTGATACTATTATAATACTGGTCAATACGTAATCTATTGATTATTGACATGTTAACCTTTTCTCTGCGCCAACCCAAATCACAACTTATGCAAGTGTGTACGCATGATTTTGTATGCTAAACAACTTACACACATTGCACTTAGTCCACGGTTTGCCCTWACAAAATAATGTATTTTCAGACGTGTCTAATGTAACTTGTGACAATAATACGTGTGTAATAAAATAGTGTTTAGTGAATAGATTTTCACGGTAATCAACTACAATATTATAGTCATGTCTCAAGAGTCACGACTCGCAGTCTTCCGACACTGGTATTTTTTTTTCTTTTTATTATTATTAGTGAAGCATCAACTATGCACTGGTTATTAGCTTTTTACAAAAATTTTACATATTTACAATTTACATTTTGCTATACAAATCGATATTTTTTAAATATAAGATTATAATATCACGGTAGTTGGAATATGGACCAATTGCTTCGTACAGGCTGTCGGGGATGTCGAAGTGTTTCCTATAGCTTCATTGCGACCCTATAGTATTATTGATGTTACTATCATACTGTTTGTTGATAAAATTAATTATTATTCTAATAAATTTCCCATATTATTTCATCTTTACAGGATGTTAATATTATATACWATAATGTGTATACGTGTGATAAAAAAGTATATTGTACTTTACTGCATATTGTTAGGTGTTATTATAAAATATCGTTAAAAAAAAAATAAAAATAATGAAGGGG